TATATATATATATATATATATCACCTTTGTAAATATTCTCAAATTAAAAACAACAACATATCAAGTGTAATTCAACAAATGAAGTTAGATTATAAAAAAACTTGTCAAACAATTTGCAAGAAGGGATACGACAATCACAACAAGAGTTCGACTCAAAATAGATACTTTTTGGACGCCACAAATCAAAAGAGACACTCCGTAAATACACAGACCAAAAAGTGAGTCCCTTTTGGTTTGTATTTCTTAGAGCGACTCCCTTTTGATACGTAGCATCCCAAAAGTGTCCATTTTGAGGTCGAATTCATCACAACAACACATTAATAAGAAATGGAAAGTTACACAACAAATCTATAAAAGAATAGTCACAAAAATGAAATAATACAACGATCGACACACGAGAACACTTGTTAACGCCGAAAGTATTTATAACGTATTTTAGATCACGAGTTTTAATTATTTCATTTATCTTTTTTAAAAAAATTATTCCATTTGCATCAAAACCCTCCATAAACCCTACTCAGTACACTCTACTCTTTTCTCACTTGATGGCCTCTTTTAGCAGAGTAATCCGCCGGACTTTTTCCACGGCTGAAGCCTCAGTATCTCCGATCAGAGTAATCTCCGACGACTTATACAAAGAGAGGAACCTCAAAAGACTCGTTGAGAAATTCAAACAGTATTCAGATGTCACAAGATTCCGCACAAAAACCGGCATTTACGAATCTACAGTTCATCGATTAGCCTCTGCAAAACGGTACAAATGGATCGAAGAAATCCTCGAACACCAAAAACAATACCGACCCGACATCTCCAAAGAGAGTTTCGCAGCAAGGCTGGTGAGTTTGTATGGAAAGTCTGGGTTATTTGAGAATGCCCAGAAACTGTTTGATGAAATGCCTGAAAGAAATTGTAAGCAGAGTGTGAAATCTGTTAATGCCCTTTTAGGGGCTTGTGTGAATTCGCAGAAATATGAAAAACTTGAAGGTTTGTTTGAGGAATTGCTGGAGAAGTTGAAGGTGAAGCCGGATGTTGTCACGTATAATATAATGATTAAGGGGTTGTGTGACAAGGGGGAATTGGATAAAGCAGCTGCCTTTGTTAATGAGATTGAGAAGAACGGGTTAAAGCCTGATTTGGTTACCTTTAATACGATTCTTGGGGTGTTTTACTCGAATGGTAAGTTTGATGATGGCGAGAAGATGTGGAAGCTAATGGTTAGCAAGAATGTTGCTCCTGATATTAGAAGTTACAATGCTAAGCTGGTAGGACTGATGAATGAGAACAAAGTTTCGGAGGCTGCCAAGCTTGTTGGCGAATTGGGAAGTTTTAAGTTAAAGCCTGATGTGTTTACATATGGTGCGTTGATTAGAGGATTTTGTAAAATGAGTAATTTGGAGGAGGCTAAAAAGTGGTATAAAGAACTTGTGAAGAGCGGTTCTGTTCCAAACAAGGTGATATTCGTTAGTGTCATTTCATCTGCGTGCGAAAAGGGTGATTTTGATTGGGCTCTTGAGTTGTGCAAAGAGGTTTTTAAAAGAAAGTGTAATGTTGATGCAAAGTTGTTGCAAAGAGTGGTCGATGGGTTGGTGAAATCGTCTAGGATTCGAGAAGCTAAGGAGGTTGTGCATTTGGGCAAGTCAAATGACTACCATCTTTATAAGCTCAATCTACCTTCAGTTGATTAAAGACGACCAGCAGATTTGCTTAGCATTTTAGATGCTGAATTTGGTACGTTAACCTTGTGTACGAACTTAATTTGATGCTAGTTTCAACTTTCATGACTGTTAGCAATAAGATGTATTCTTGTTTTGGATGTTAAATGAATTTATACTTTGCTCAGCCTTTTGTGCGTGAATTTTTGGTCGACTTAATGACTTCACTTGATGTTGGTTTAATGGTCTTGTGATATAAGGTTCCCAACTAAAACATACCCTCTCTAGTACTTTTTAGGCTTTTGTATAGAAATCTTAGTTCTATTTCAATAAGTTGAATGAAAGATAGCTCCAATTGCGAAACCAATTTCAGATTTAATAGCATTATCAATTGTTTCAGTAACATACTAAAAAGGGAGAAAAATATTCTGTAATAGAGAAAAGAGATCAATAAAGTAGCAGAAAGGAGCAACAACAACAAGAAGACCGGAAATGATAAATCTAGAGTCCCCAGGAAGTAGGAAAGAGAAGTCTCCAGTCTCCCTATGAATTCCCTCACTTGCACATGACTTCTAACTCTGACCTTTAAGGAATATGACAAGGGACAGAGCATAAAGGCTGGGAAATAGCCTCAATTTCCGAAACTTTTTTAATATGAAGCAAAACAGAGTTCAGTTCTAAGCAAGAGTATGCATTTATGTGTTCGAGTACAAAGTCGAAAATAAAGTTATTTCTTAATGATAGATCACCAAACTAGAGTTATTTTATTTATTAAATGTTGCTTCTTCTGTATCACATTAAGTCTTGCTTATTCATTACACATATCGATAGAATAGTGCTGCTCTTTGCCACAAAGATTCATCAGTAAATTGTTTAGATCTTCAATAACCCCTTATGTTTAAAACAAGCAACACACTGATCATAAATCTCTTCAATCCCATACTTAAAACTGAATCCCTCTTTGATGAGTTTCTCTGACGAGATGATCAACTTGGCTTTAGGTGGGAATTCTCGGAAACTGCAATACATCAATCAGATACAAAGATTATATATATGTCAGTAACCTAAGGGAACAGTTGGATAGTTGAGGTGTTTATTCAATATTTCTAGTTTCACACCCCAACTATCAGCTGTTTAGGTAGGAAAGGTGTTGTTGGATAGTTGAGGTGTGTTTTAATACATAGATGGTGATAGTTCAGGTAGAAAAAGAGGATAACTGATAGTTGGAATTTGAAACTCGAGAAAAGATGATAGTCCAGGTCTATTTGATATTTGTGACATTACTTACTCAGTCGGAACATATAGAGTTGGATATCTTTTCTTCAAGAAACTTGCAAGCTCTATCACACTGGTGTTGACTGCAGAGCATATATACCTTCCAGAAGCTGATTCTTTCTCAGCAACAAAAATATGGGCTCGACAAACATCCTCTACATGTGTAATAGATATTGAACCTGATAACATCTGCATCCCCTTCAAGTTACTTATAAGAAATTCATCCCCTGTCAAAATATTTGCAAAGAAAAGATGAAATGCTTTCAATTTCTCCCTCCGTACCAGTTTATGCAACACTGTTTGTTTGGTCGTTGTGGTTAAGAAAAAAAGGAAGACTTTCGAAACTTGTAGTATTAAATAAGCTTTTATAGCACCTCAGGCTGTGTTTGTTTGAGAGTCATGCGGTCTTAGGTTCAGTTCGCCTTGACAAAACACTAGGTGATATCTTTTCCCATCTGTCACCCTTGGACAAAGGTCACTCCATACTTGTGACAGTGGGAGTTAGCGCTTAACAAGTATCATGTGGAATTAATTGAGGTCTGCATAAACTGACCAGGACATCACAGTTATAACAAAAAGAACCAAGTCTTGAACATGTTTTCGACTATAAATCATATCACTATAGGTAAAATTATAAAATTTTAAAATAGAATCATTTCTAAATATAAAAAGTATATTCTTTATACATTACAATAACAGAAAAAAGGGGTGTCACATAAACTGGGACAGAAGGAACATGATATTCATGTGATGTTTTTATTCTGACCTGTGATTAAGGACATGGCAAGATCAACACTACTTGGAGTTTCTGGAGTAAAGTAAGGACCAGCCAGGAGAGATGGAATTATAGTGATAAGTTTAATGTTATTTTCCTCAGCAAATTTCCAAGCTTCCTTTTCAGCTAATGTTTTTGAGACAAGGTACCCCTGCATAGTATTAAAAAAACTTTTTTTTAAGAATTGTAAACTATATTGTTAAAAGAATATAATGAGAAATTACCCAAGTAGGTGGTTTTGTTGAAGTCAAGAACTCAACATCTGTCCAATTAGACTCATCCATGACTAGACCTGTGCCACTAAGTTGGTTGATTGTCACAGCAGCAGCTGATGAGGTCAATACTACCTTTTTAACTGTTTTTGATTTGACACATGCTTTTAGGACATTCACTACTCCTTGTATTGCTGGATTTATCATATCATTCTGCAAATAAAGAGAATATAATCGAAGCGGATTCATGATATAAAGTTAATAAATTCAAAATCTTTTGATATAATTCTACATATTATATATATGTATATATATATATATATACCTCTGGATCTTGAGAAGCAAAATTAATTGGTGTTGCAACATGGAAGACAATGTCACATCCATTTATAGGGATATCAAAGCTTGTTTCATCTGTTAAATCAGCTTGAAATATTCTCAATTTTCCCAACTCATGTAATGCTAATAGGTGAGAAATCTTCTTATGATTTCCTAATTAAAAAAAATTAATAAGAAACCAAAAAATAATGATATATTGTATAAATATTGACATTAAAAAAAAGAAAGAAACATAAGCATGGATCACTTTGCTTCAGCCCTTGCTCTGTATATCTGTTTTTTTCCACCTAGTGTGCGACACTCCTTTTATAAGAGTGTCGACTAATCTAAATTCACATTCCATAAAGGATCATTATAAGGGAAAACACGTATTGCAATAAACCAAAAAGTAAATAGGGTTTAACTTCCACGTGAAACAACATCAGAATTCTCCTATCCACTACTCGGAGCACCTTTCCAAAAGAAAAAAAGATATATCTGTCAGGTTCGATTCTTCTTAGTTAGGTTGGGTCAGATATACCTTGCCTTGCTCAAATGATGCTACAAACACTTCTTTATCAATTTTTTAGAAGATAATAGATAGATAGATAAGAACCAATATGAAAATATAATGTCACAAATACCACTTGTCATAAATGATATTATTTTTTTCAAATTATTAATATCGCTTACGAAAAATTCTGCGTACCAAGATCGCGGACAGTTGTATTAACAGTGTAGCCTTTCTCAAGCAAAAGCTTAACAAGCAAAGATGCCATAAATCCAGTGCCACCAATTACACAAGCTGATTTTAATCTTCCTTCCATGGAATATATCTTTTAAAAATCTAAAAAATTATAAAACTAATGAAAACTTATAGAGAAAAATAATGCGAAATATTTTAGTGTCAAATGAAAGTATGTTGTATCTTTTATAATTAGATTTACATCACTAAGACCATTAGGTTATACATGCAGTAGATAGACACATGGAGTTACCAAATTGTCAAAATTTGACCACTCTATAAAAAATATTTATGTCATTTGGTATATTTATTTTCTTAACAATACACATGTTTATTAATTTTAAGTCATATTGGTATATTTTGAAAAGAAGAATAATGAAGAGAGATAGCCAAATCTATTCCCACCATATAATAATAATTTTATTATTATTATTTTTGAATTATATGTAACATATAAATACTAAAATGTGGAAAGGGAACTTTGCTATTACTCACACAAATACTATTTTGAAGTTTAGAGCAACTAATAAAAATTGTACCCTTAGAATACATACAAAGTTTTTATCTGTCTAATATATACGTAATTAATCATATTTTTATAACAAGCTTATATCATCTCATATGTTGTGTAATTGGATGGTTTTATCCCTCCTTATATTAAATAGACAATCAGATTATCAATATAATCATTTTAGGTACCTTTTTGGCTGGCTTGAAGTATTGATTAACGTTAAATACATTACTCAACCACTCATTTGAATATCTGGCTCGTCTTTGATCACTACTAAAAAAAGCCAAAAGAGACCTAGAAAAGGAGACCTAAAAAATAGGTCTATAATAAGAGACCTCATGATTCGCTATTTGAATTAATATTTTTTAATTTTTTTTAAATGTAGGAGAGACCTCGTGAGGTCAATTTAATGAATTTATTTTTTTCTATACCTGACTTATTTCAAATTTTCAAATTTTTAATCTAATTCTCATAAAATTGAGGTCTATACTTGTTAAATTAAAAATAATAATTTAGTTTAATTAAAGACTTAAAAAATGAGAGACCTCATGAGCTCTCTTAAACAAAAGAAAACCCTAGCCAAAATCTATCATGGCGGAGAGGGACGATGAGAGAGAGAGGGACGATGAGAGAGAGAGAGGAACG